TGCTTGCTCTTGCATCATTTCTGCATTATTATTTATTTATTTTTTTGACAGGCAGAGTGGACAGTGAGAGAGAGAGACAGAGAGAAAGGTCTTCCTTTTTGCCGTTGGTTCACCCTCCAATGGCCACCGCAGCTGACGCGCTGCGGCCGGCACACCGCGCTGATCCGAAGGCAGGAGCCGGGTACTTCTCCTGGTCTCCCATGGGGTGCAGGGCCCAAGCACTTGGGCCATCCTCCACTGCACTCCCTGGCCACAGCAGAGAGCTGGCCTGGAAGAGGGGCAACCGGGACAGAATCTGGTGCCCTGACTGGGACTAGAACCCGGTGTGCCAGCGCCGCAAGGCAGAGGATTAGCCTAGTGAGCCGCGGCGCTGGCCCCATTTCTGCATTATTTTATAAATTTTTTAGAAAATTCCAAAGCAGTCTGTTCAGCCTCATGCACTGTCTCAATATCATGCAGTGTTTCTTTTAACTCCAGCTAAGCGTAGGCTTTGGAGCTGAAGGGACTCCTAAAAAATAATTTTGTGCAACCCCATGATCTCATAGATGAGGCTGATTGACTTCTTTTCCAAGGCTGCAAACTTAGTTCTTCTTGCTGCCTTCTGTATTCTCTCTGTGTCTCGTGGCCAGTTGAGTTAGAGATGTGTCTCAAAGTGAGTCTGTTCCCATTGAACCTACTTGAAATTTGTAAACCTTCTTAGATATGTGAGCTAATGCTTGTCTTTAGATTGGGGAAGTTTTTACATATTGTTTCTTTCCATACTGTTTTTTTTTTTTTTTTTTTTTCAATAAACACTTGCAACCAATACATCTCTCAGTCTGCCCTGGAGGGCTCTGTGTGATGATGGTAACACTGCATGCCTTCAACACTACCAGTCAGCAACTCTGCCTTAGCCTTCAGTTCCTCCTTAGGCGGGACTCAAAGTTAGGCACAGGCTGCAGTTAGGACTTCCTAGTCTTTTCCTGAGCGTGTTCATGGCCTTTATTCCCAAGAGTGTGTCAGAGCTTTTAAAAGCCCCTATGAACACCTTCTGTCCAATCTTGCTTTTCTTTTTAAGTGTTGTGGTTAGTCTCTTTGTTCCAACTATTATCTGTTGCCTCAGGCATTCATGATGTCAAAATGCTTACTTGTAATTATTTCAGACAAACACATAAATACTCTCCAGTTGCTGCAAGGCTTGATTAATGGACAGAATCTCAAATGATTGCTTTTGAAAATCCTCCACAACCCCCACCCCGCAAGGTTTTTGTTGTGCTGCTGTTGCTGTTGCTTTTATGGAGAAGCCAATTTTTGAACATTTCTTCACCAACACTCCTCCTTTTTTGTTTTGTTTTTGCCTCCTGCCTTCTTTCTGAGGCCTAAAGATGACAAAAGTGTTGAGTTGTGGGTGGCGTGCTGGGTTCTGCTGTTCATGGCACTCCTGGAAGTTGTCTGACCCAAAGCTGGGTCTGAGAGTCTGTATCTTAGTGTAGTTGCCTGTCTACAGACTAGACAGTCATAACTACCGGAGCAATAAGATTGCTTAGCTAAAGTTCTGGTAATGAAGTAACTGCAGGGTTTCTGTATTTGAGTTAGTAATTGCTACTGAAGAAAATGATTCTTCAGATTGGTGTTCTATGAATTCACAGCCTCAAGTCTCAGCCAGTCTCTCAAAACTGCCTGTCAATCCAATTTCTTTTTGTCCATTTCCTCTTTACAGTAGAAGTTATCTGGCCCTCTAAAATGTCTTCTGTCCCCTGTTACTTCCCTCACCTTCCTCTTACTCCCCTAATGTATTTCAGGAGAATTAATGCCACATTGCTTTTCTCAAATTATCGTCCTTTCCCCCTTTGTATTTATTTTATCCACAATAATGTTGCAAGAGAATTGAATAGAGTCACGAAAAGACTTGTGTGGGTGTTCTAGGCTGGATAGGAAAAATTAAGAGTTAGAGAGGGACAGATAGATTGGGGGCGGGGAAGGAGTGTAAGTGTGGTCCAGGAAAGGAACATTTCTTAGTTTGAGTAACTTGGGTTCTTAGAATAAATGCAACAATGGTTAATATGAGTTATAAATATAAGAAATTGTATATGTGGCTGTGGACATTTGGTGGAATGTCCAGAGGCTGTTTTATTGCTTCATTGTAACAAATGCCAGACATTTAAAAATTTCCCTGTAGTGGGCTGAATTGTGTCTCCTAAAAAGATGTTCAAGCCCTAATCCCCAGTGCCTGTGAGTGTGATCTTACTGAGAAATAGGGCGAAATGAAGTTACGATGGGGTCACACTGTGTTAGGGTGGGCCCCTGTGTCCCTCTGCTGATGTCCTCGTAAGAAAAGAAGGAGTCGGGGAGGAGGCAGGAAGTAAAAGAATGCATGGATTGCCCGGAGTCACCGGAGGCGAGGATGAGGCACAGGGGATTCTTGGACTCTGCAGGGAGCATGGCCCTGCTGAAACCTCGGTTCTCCTTCTTTCTGTCCTGCAGAACCATCAGAGTATAAGTCTGTTGTTTGTGGTATTTTCCTAAAGATGTACTAGGAAACTAATACATTTCCTTAGTTTGCTGTTGAAATGAATTTTAATTTATAAATAACGAAGTATGGTATCAAATGATAAATAGAAATAACATCGGTCACTTGCAAAGCAAGTTGATGCATTATATTAGTTTAGATTTGAGGGTGACATTTTGAAACCCAGGTTACAGGCACACAGCTGTGATACCTTAGTGAACTGACTGGCTCTTCATGAGTACCTCAAATACATGAAGTGTAGAAGATCTTCTTTATTCCTTTCATCTGCTTGAATCCAAGATTCCATTTGGAAAAGCTCAGCAGTTTTTTCCGAAGGGAAGTTACTGTTAAAAATACCACGGGGTTGGTGTTGTGGCATAGTGGGTTAAGCTACCACATGCAACATTGGCATCCCATATGGGCACCAGTTTGAATCCTAGCATTCCAAGCAAGCTTCCTGCAAATGTACCTGAAAAAGCAGGGGAGGATGACCCAAGTACTTGAGCCCCTGCCACCCACGTGGAGTCCTGGATGAAGCTCCTGGCTTCAGCTTGGCCCAACCCTGGTTTATTGCGGCCATTTGGAGAGTGAGCCAGCAGATGGAAGATCTCTTTTTCAGTGTCTCTCCCTCTCTCTCTAACTCTGCCTTTCAAATAAAATAAATAAATCTTAAAAACAAATCTTGAATGCCTTGTTAGTAGGTAGTCTAATATAGCCCCTAAATATGAATCTTATACTTAAGTCCCTTTAAAAGACTGCCTTCTTTGAATAATCATGTGGGATACCACAGCCCTCTCTTAGATAACACAGAAACAGAAGCAGTTTTTTTCCAATATTCTGTTTGCTAAGCAAAAATTGATTGCATTCTGGAGATTTTTGTAGAGAAATTATATTTGAGATTTGCCCTTGACATATTTTAGATAACTTGTAATGCAGACATTTCACTCATCTTAACGTCTTGATCCTTATAGTAGATCAGTTATAATTCATTTTGTTAGGCTTTTAGTTTTTGAAGGCTTTCTTTTGTGTAACTGTATTACTTTTCCATTGCTGCTGTAACAAATCACCACACCTTTAGGAGGCTGAAGTACCACATATTTTTTATCTGATATGGGCCCTGCTGAGCTGAAATCAAGGCATCTGCAGGCCTGCATTCCTTACTGACACTTCAGGCACGACTCTGCTTCCAGCCGCCCTCACCTTTTCAGCTGCAGTCAGTTCCCTGCTGTAGTGGCACTCGGGTCCCCTGTTGCTGGTGAGCTGGGTCTGGTGTCCGCTCGGGCCCACATGCATGCTCTGTCAGACCATTCCTGGGCCCCTGCAGCAAGCGCAGGTAGAATCGCTCTCATAACATCTCTGATATGAGTTCATGTGATTAGACTGGATGACTCGGATAATTCAGAATATCTTCTGTGTTAAGTTCCGTAAGTGTAGCTGCATTGGTAAAGTCCCTTTTACCATGTAACACATGCATAAGGATTCGGGGTGAGGGGAGGCAGCATCTTTGGAGGACCATCCTGCCTCCCACGTTGATTGGTATTAGTGGATTTGGTAATTAGGTGCATTCATTATCAAATGTATTAATGTAATTACTAAAATTTATAAAATAGATTTCACGTATAGCTAGTACAAACACTCTTTCTCTCCTTGAGATACAGTACAGGGATAATGTTTGGTAAGTGTGAGAAATTTTGTGTAGAAAAGGAAAATAAATTGGTATGAGTCAGTCCCCTAGTGAAAGTCTCATTGTACAGCATCATTCACCAACTTTCGGATTCCAGGCAGCTTTTATTGCTTGAAATTAATCGGATATCCCACATCACTTGTAAGTAGACTAGAAAGTTGCTACACAAATCATGTCACTGTCGTTTCCCATTTATTTTGACGTTGGCTGCTGTCTGGCAAGGAACTGGAATTTCCTTATTTCTTACTGGTTCTGATGGCTCCATGTGGAGAATGGACACCAGAGACTTTCACTTTTCATTTTCATGTTAGAATGGGGCAAGCTTGAGCCTGTGCTTCTTCTATAGGGAGGCCAGAAGCAGAGCCAAGACAACATCTGCCAAACTGAATTTTCTTCCTGTCCAAGTTCTGCAGTCAGACTGGGAAACTTTTCATTCCCTTCAGTAACAGAAGGACGAAAGCTGATGGTTTGTGAAGTCAGGGTATACCAATTAACATTCTCATATGCCCCATCCACTGCACACAAATAAAATGGCTCCCCACCCCTCTTGTTGTTAGTTTTTATCCCAAAGCATAGAAGTGGTTACATTAGAACTATCTCATGCTTTGAAGAAACTTAGTTTAATTCTGGCCTTTATTCTCAGTCATGTGGTCTTTCTCCTTACCACACATGGGCAATATTTTAAAATAAAACAGAGAAAATGTTTCACAACTAGTAAAACGATACAAAAAAAAAAAAAACATGAAAATATCGTTGTGACTGGCAGAGAAATTATTACAGATCACTGATGAAAAATGTGTATCATTTCACTTACTGTTTCTCTGTTAGGTGAAAAGAGATTTGAATGCCCAGAATGTTCCAAAAGGTTTATGCGGAGTGATCATCTCTCCAAACATGTGAAAACACACCAGAATAAGAAAGGCGGCGGGACAGCGCTTGCCATTGTTACCTCGGGAGAACTGGACTCATCTGTCACAGAGGTGCTGGGCTCCCCAAGGATTGTCGCCGTGGCAGCCATTTCTCAAGATTCGAATCCAGCAACTCCCAATGTTTCCACCAACATGGAAGAATTCTGAAGCGACATTTGTAACAGAGACCTCTAGTGCTGCACTTAAGTTTACACACCTTTGAATATCTGGAACTGGGCTGGTCACATGGATTACAGAGTAGGAAATCATGTTTTCATTCTTGGCTTCTTTTAAGTATTCCTAGGTTTGGGGCAACACATGAAGTGTTGAATTTTTTAAAATACACAAAGCAAACCGCTGTACTGGAAACAGAAAAGTATTTCCTCCGTGGTTGAAGTTGCAGTTGTGTGGAAGTATGTCATGTAACCTTGCAGTAGGGTCTTCCCCGCTGTGAGCATCATGTGTGCACAGATTGAAAAAGACAGACCTCGGTCATTTGTAGGCTGCACCTTAATTGGACGTATTTTCTTTGAAAGTACTTTCTTATAAATTCAGTCAATAATTTACATACATTTCTTTTTCTCTATAGCACAGAAAACAGTCAACTAATGATAAGGATAATACTGTATTTCCTTAGCTTGATTTTTGGAAACTCAACCGAAAATAGTTTTGGCCGTCTTTTCTAAATGGTAGAAATTCTTCAACAGTTGAATTAGGTAAGTTCCAAAACAGTCTTCTGAGGTGCGTCTCAGATCTTTATTACCACTACATTGTAGTAGTGTGTATGCAGACAATCAGTGAAGTCCAATTGCTTTCTCCTTTTGGAGACAGAAGAGGAACCTAGAGCTAAATCTTAGGTTAAATTTTAGATGGAAAACTTAGGAAAATGCTGGGGGAAAAAATGGTTAAAACAAAATTCCTGATAGCTTCAGAAAAGTAAGATGAAGCAACTTGACATGCATTGTTTTAAAGTTAGGATTGATTCTATTCCTAACACTCAGTCAAACCACGAGATTTCATTTTAAATGTTTATATTGGGAATATTTGCGTAGAATGTAAATCATTCTGTAGTTTCATATTGTGTAAATAGGAGTTACGTTGACAATGTGCAGAATTCTTTATGCTTTGACACAGTAGCCAAAGAACCATCAACACTTTTTTTCAAGGCCAGCAGAAAATCATCTTTTAACTACATTATAATTTTCATTTTTCCTTACTAAAAATTGGCCAATCCCATTTTATTTCTAGTACTGTTAGAAAGTTAATTAGGAATTCATAGCACAGTAATGTCTTTATGTCAATAACTGAATTTTCCCTAAAATTTAGACAGCCTAGCAAATATATAATAGATATGATATTATGGAGCAAAAATTATTTTTGAGAAATCAGAATAATTTTCAGTCAAATAGTGACTAAATAAAAAATATATTTCATTCTATATGAAAGGGTCTTATAGTCAAGAGTCTTATTAGGAAAGATGGCCAAAAATTCCTTATGGAAAAGAAAAATGGATAATGCCAGTAGCTTAAACATTAGTAAGATTTATCATGTTTTTAAAAAGCATTTCCACAGAATCATAATTAGTGAAATTGACCATTTGAAAACTAAAGTTTTTACCTGCTTGGTTTATTAACAGCATTGGTTTGGGAACTGTTTGAATACAGATACGTACATGTTTTCTCGTGCATTCTCTATGATTTCAGGAAAAGTACTACTCATGGGAATTCTCTTCCAAAATTGTGATGTTTCTTGTATTTTTGATGAAGGAGAAATACTGTAATGATCACTGTTTACACCATGTACACTTCAGGCCAGCCCTTTGTAGCGTTATATAAAACTGAAGGCCTTTTGTGCTTTCAGTTTGTATAAAAAAGCTTTGAGATTAAAGGAAAAAAAAATTTTTACACTGTGGTTATAAATTTCAAGTTTTCTTAAAGCTTTTGTAGACTTGTAACAAAGTCTTTAAATTTTAAGTTGGATTTTGTAAATTGTTTTGTATATTTTATTTAATGTACTCTTAACAACTGATGTATCTGGCTTTACGACATCAGAATCAGTTTGTTGTTGTGTTTGGTACAGAGGAGCGTTTGGTAGTGTTCATTTCAATTTTTATTATATAGGAGCTGAAACATCAAATATATATTTTATCTATCATTATGCTACACAATCAGTGCTATAAATTTTTTTATGCAAAGAAACTTTCTTAATGTTCCAATCATGTTTCCTCCGAGTGACACTTTCTGTTGTTTTCGTTGATACCAAGAATCAGCACTCTGCATGGCAATCCCATGCACCAGTTTCACTGCAAACCTCTGTGTGTTCATCAGAAATGGAAATTCATTTTCTCATCAACAATGAGGCCTATTATAAATTTATCAAACTGGATCTGGATAGCTTTATAGCATATAAAATATATTAATTTGTGTTAGCAGGTGCACATTTCACCACCAGAATTAGAAATTTTTTGACAGTCTGCTCTGCATACCATTCTGAGTCCACTTTTCTGTCTTAGAAGAATCGTAAATCTCAATGTCCTTTATTTGACTCAGTGGGAATAGCTGTTATAAGTAATAGGACACAGATGTGCAGTAGAGTCTTGTTTAATGGCATTTCACTGTTCATTCCCTTTGCCACCGTTATAAAGCTTTTCTTTATTGTAATTATCAGTGCAAAGCTATGTATTTATCATGGTAGAACTCCAGTGTTAGAATAGTTTTTTCTTACAGTATACTTTCTTTGGTTAGGTTTGTGTATGTGTTGCTGATTACATTAGAACTTGATGTTAAGTCATTATTTATCACACTCTCATGAGAGCAGTAATAAAAGTGTGTAATCTAGGGGAAAAAGTTAATTTGTCAAACTTAGATAAGCATGATGTTTAGGTCCTATTTTTCAATTTTATAACTGTTTTATTGCAACAATATTTGTATTTAAGTCTCCATTTTAATGCCTTGTGGTGTTTTTTTATGCATGTCACTAAGTTGTCATCCCACATAAATTGATGTGCAGCATAGGGTATTAAATCTACATAATGATTTTAAAACAGAAATAGTTGATGGTAAAATGTAAATGTTTTGCAAAAATTCCTTATAAAAAGTTTTGTAGTAACATTTCACTTGTAAATTTTTTTGTAAAAAAAAAAGAAAATGAAAAAAAAAGATGAATCCAGAAAAAAACTGTTTCCCATATCCTAGAATTTAGACAATTATTCTGCCAGCAAAGCCTCCGGGGCTGTAACTGACATTTTTACAGTGCTGATTTGTATAAAATTTGTTTTTTGTGGATTTGGAAATAAAATCATGTACAAGTTGTTGCCTGCAATAACAATTGCAAGTAACCTATTAAAAATTCCCTTGAGTTTAACATGTTTCATTTAATTATGTATACTATAAAGCAGCAATAAATTGTTTGAACTATCAACCTTACCACGATGAACACTGCAAAGTTAAATGCTTCTCACTAGAACACACATTGGCAGCCCTTCACGGTGCCTGGTATTAAGATCCAGGCACCATTTCTCTGAACACACCGCCAGAGAATCCCAACTCAGATTGCACCGTTAATTTGTAGCCATTGCTCTAGACATTTATGGAAATTAAAATTTGATTTAGAGACGCTTTTTAACTTAATGTCTTTAAGCAATAAATGTTAGGAAATTGTAGGAAGAACTAAAAACGCAAAACGTAATTAAAATGTTATTTAAGCTCACAGAAACACTAAGAAGCAGTATAGACCATGTAGAAGCCACATAGTCTTTTAATGAAAATGGTCTTTTCCTCCTGGGAGAGCCCTGCAAAGCTCATGAGAACCTTACCAAAGTAATGAACACCTGATTGTCACAACTTCAAACATGGCAGAGGGAGGCAAGGGGGTGAGATGTTAGATGGCCGAGGGAGTGCACTGGCCCACTGGCCCAAGACTTGGAAGAGTCTTTAAATCTGTAGTAGGCAGAGGCTGTAGTTGGGTGGGTAGGTAGCCTTGTACATTAAGCCCCAAATGCACAGTAAGGTTACAACTTAGTACAGTAATCGTAATCAGTAGTCAGGGGCAGGGCTTGTGGCCCAGCCGACTGAGCCCCTGCTTGGGACACCATATCCCGTATAGGAGTGCCTGGTTCGAGTTCTGGCTACTCTGCGCTTCTGATGCCACTTCTTGTTCCTAATGCCCCTAGGAGGCAGCAGATGACGGCCCAAGTGCTTGGGTTCCTGCCACCCGCATGGGGCACGCTGATGGAGTTCCTGGCTCCTGGTTTTGGCCCGGCCTAGCACCAGCTGTTGCTGGCATTTGGGGAGTGAACCAATGGAGGAAAGATTTCTCTCTCTCTTTCTCTGCTTTTCACATAAATATCTTTTTTTAAATATTAGGAATTCAGAACAGTGACTCAAGAATCAAGAGATAGTTTACATGTATGGTACTCTGCAAAATAAGATAGTAAGAAATTTCCATTCACATTTGGAAGCATCAAGATGATGCTGTCTGGGGGAATAATGTAATTATAAAATTAACAAAATTTTAGTTGTTTATTTTTCATGTAGTAGCATGTGGTTTCTGAACTCCTAGGGATTTGAACCATGTGAACAGGCTGAATCACAAAGGAGAAAAAGGGTCAGATTGCTTCCTCATAGATTGTTGCCATAAAACCATTGGTGTAGGTAGTGCTGAGAGCAACCCTACTACATAGGGTGGATTTACAAAGTCATTAGTCAAGCTGACTCCATGATAATGGGAAAACTAACATTTGGTATAACTAAATTTTATTTAAAAATTCAGATGCTTGATTATAGAGGTGCAGAGACTTTACTTGTCTGCAAGAAATACTTTATTCCTCACTGAATCTGCATAATGTATTACTATATTTACTGCCTAAGCAATAATGTCTGCTTAATATACACAATCCATTTATAATCGTGTAGCTGGGTTTTTTAGGCATGTGTTTCCATTCTTTTAAGATTTGCTGATTAGCATAAGCCTTGGGCTCTGTTCCTCTGGGTAGCAGGTGGCAGTGAAATAACTTATTTTTGGATACCTGAGAGTAATGTCAAGTGGAAATAGTGGAAATAGAGGAGAGAGGGAGCAAGGGAGGGAAGGAAAGACTGATTTATCATGCAGAGAGCCAGTCTCCTTGGTAATAGCAGACTACTGTGACCAAAGAGATCGTAGAGTGAGAGGCTGAGGGGTTCCAGCTGGATTCCTTGTTCTGCCAATTGTAAGCCACAACCTTGGGCAAGTTAACTGTTCTGTATCTCTGCTCACTTGCAAAATGGGATGCTGCTGCCTCATAGGGCTATTAGGAAGGTGAAGCAAGGTCACTAGGCAAGCACCTGAGAGTATTGTACGATAGATGAGCTGATTGATGTTAATTCCAGAGAAGGGGGTGTCTTATCCATCCTGCCTGCTATGGCAAAGAATCGTAAACCAGGTAGCTCTTAAGCAGCAGAATGTACTGCTCACTCTCCGGAGGCTGGAAGTTCAAGGTTGAGATGCTGGTGTATTCCCTCTCTAGTGAGAACTGTTCCCTGGACATGCTTCTCTGCTCTCATGTGATAGAAGGGACAAGGCAGCTGAGGTACCAGCCCCACTCATGAGGGCTCCACTTACCTGATCTAAGCCCTGCTTAAAAGCCCTTCCTCCTAGTCCTACCTTGGCCATTAGACCTCAGCATAGAGATTTTGAGGGTGCACAAATGTTCAGACCCTAGCAGGGACCATGACACAGTTCCCAACTAGACCATGGCGAGAATATTTGGAACAATATGCTGAGAAGTTAATTCTCAAAATTCCAAAAAGAAGCAGCAGTGGCAGTGTCCCCAGTCAGCCACATACTTTTGTGAAGCTGTCTGTGAGCTCATGAGAGTACTGTAGCTCCCTGTCGGCATGTCTCACTGGAGCACCTCCAGGGACAGGCTGCATAAACACTGCAGTGCAGTAAGAACACATGTGTAGGGAGGAGCTGCGGCTCACGTAAGGTTGGCTAACTTAACATGAACAGGTTTCAGATCAGGGTCAGAGACCCAAGAACTCCTATCTGGGAGCTAAGAGCAGACTAAAGCAAATTCTGCAGAGGAGGGGATCCGTTGTCTCAAACAGCGATTCACCTTTGAATCACTCCTTTCCACAGGGTGGGCTGGGTTCAACTTGGGTTGCTGATTTTCCTGTTAGGAGATGTGCTTTACTAAAGCTTTTCTTTATAGTAGCACTACTTTTGAGCTGTGAAAGGCGTGATAAAGTTATATTTTCTGTTAGTAAAATTGTTCCTAGCTTGTATAATTTTATGGTGGAATTTAATGCATCGGTAGTTCACGGAGCTGCGTGTATAGGGCACCATGGGCCCCAAGTATCTGGTGACCTTAACAAGTTTGAAAACCATTGTTGAGGGAAATACTTTAAAGACAAAAGATAAGCTGACTGAAAAGAAAACAAGATCCAACTCAATTCAGTAATATCAATGGGTACAACTTTGCTTTTGTAGCTTTCTTTATGTTAGTTTATTCTGTCAAGTTCAGACTCCTACATAGGATTCCAAAGTTTTTTTTGCATCAAAATAAACACCTTTGCATTCCATTTTCCATGACCTTTTTAAAGTACCCTTGTGTATGCATATGTGAAATATGTATGTGTACATATTTGATGGGACATCATTTATACTTCTAATTATAATTTATAAGTCAGAACTAAATTTGCAAGTTACTTGGCTTTGTATTTTTGTTGCTTCCTTTCCCTTTCTTTAATTATGTGGAAGAAAAGATAACATTGTTTTAAAAAATTAAGCCCTACTCTGATGATAATATATGTGCTTATTTCAATTTTTAATTTTCTGGAGTAAATCATGACTAGCGCAAGGTTTTAGATTCTATGCAAAGAACTCAGTTCTTTTTTTTTGTTTGTTTGATTTTTGTTCAACGTATCACTGATGACAATTTGTATTAAAGTCCATGTAAGGAGTTGGTGTGGCATAAGGGTAAAGCCACCACCTGCAATGCTGGCATCAAGTACAGACATGGGTTCATGTTCCAGCTGCTCTACTTCTGATCCAGCCACCTGCTGGTGCACCTGGAAAAAAGCATCATTGGGTGGCCCAGGTCCTTGGGCCCCTGCACCCATGTGCAAGACCCAGCAGAAGCTCCTGGCTCCTGGCTTTGACTTGGCCCAGTCCTGGCCGTTGTGGCTATTTGGGGAGTGAACCAGAAGACTGAAGATCTCTCTGTCTCTCCCTCTCACTCTGTAACTCTGCCATTCAATTAAATAATAATAATTTTTTTTAAAAAAGTCTATGTATAAATTTAGTATGGCCTCTAGTTCCCTAAAAAGCTGGAATCCTTTTATTTTCTTTTTTAAAACATTTATTTATTTGAAAGGCAGAGAGCAACAGAAATGAGGAGAGGCAGAAAGAGATCTTCCAAATGCTGGCTCACTCCTCAACAAATATGGCAGTTGGGCTGTTCCAGGCCGAAGCCAAGAGCCTGGAACTCCGTGTGGGTATACCACGTGGCAAGAACGGGCCCCGGTGGCTTTCCCAGGTGCATTGCAGGGAGATGGATTGGAAGCACAGTAGCCAGGACTTGAATTGGCCATCCAATATGGGATGCTGGCATTGCAGGCAACAGCTTAATCAGCTGTGCCACAATGCCAACCAGCCCCTGGAAATCCTATTACTTTTGACTTAAAAGAAATGGGGTGGGAAAAAGAGCAAACTTAGAGGACTTTTTAAAATTGACCATTTTATAGATGAAAATATTCTGTATTTTTAGGAGAAGTGTTACCTTGTTTCTAAATGTTTCTCACATACTGAGTTTTATTATGCTTATTTGAATGTGTGATATTGCCAATTCTCTAAAGAATTAGCCTTATGAGAGAAGACATAATCATCAGAGAACATATTGAAATAAAATATTTTATCTTCAGCTTTTGTATTTTGTCCTAATAGAAATATTGATCAGATTCATGACTTAAGAATTTATGTCTCTTATTAAGAAAAATATATCATTTAACTGTGGCATTGTTTGTAATCCTCCCTAAGTAATTATGATCTTTTAAAAAGTCAAGTAACTCTCTTGCTTTAATTGTTTGGTGACTGAGCCATAATTAGGCCCAGAATGCATTCAGTTTATGAGTCCAGAGGTCATAGCTTTGTCCCCAAGAATCTACAAAACCCAGTCAAAGTTTAGGCATATTCAGGTATCAGAGTGGGAGTTGCCAACTCCAAGCCCAGTTTGCTCCTCTTAAAAGAATATAAGAGCAGTTGGTTCTCATTATCATAGATACCAGGGTGCTGTGGTCTGAATGTGTGCCCCCCAAAATGCCAGGATTGACAGCCACCCCGCAGTGTGGTGCTATTACAAGTTAGGGTCTTTGGAGGTGGAGAGGTTATGAGGACAGAGCCCTTGTGAATAGCATGTGAGCCCTTGTACAAGCAGCCTCAGGAAAGG